CCAGAAACTCGTAATGACCGTAACGAGTCCTGAACGCCGTCTTAGGAACGTCATCCCTACTAATCTTCAGCTGATAGTACCCAAACCTCAAGTCTATCTTAGAGAAGACGCAAGCACCTCGAAGTTGATCAAACAAATCATCGATACGAGGCAATGGATAACGGTTTTTAATCGTCACCCGATTCAATTGCCTGTAATCGATACACAGCCTCAAAGTTCCGTCTTTCTTCCTCACAAACAATACCGGAGCGCCCCAAGGCGAAGTACTAGGCTGAATGAACCCCTTATCCACTAATTCCTGTAACTGAACTTTCAATTCCCGTAACTCGGCGGGAGCCATACGATAAGAAGTCAAAGAAATAGGGTTAGTACCTGGAAGTAACTCAATAGTAAACTCCATATCTCGATCTGGATGTAAACCAGGTAAATCCTCGGGGAAAACATCAGGAAAGTGTCTGACCACTCTCACATCCTCAACTCTGCTAGGAACGGCCTCATCTAACACCACATGAGCTAGGTACCCCTGACAGCCTTTAGACAACAACTTTTTCACTCGCAAAGCCGAAATAACGCCATGTCTCACCCCACTCTGCTCGCCCACAAAAGTAACCACAGGTAGTCCAGGACGGTGAAACGTAACTACTTTCCCGTAACAATCAATGTTGGCACGATAGAAATGCAACCAGTATGTGCCCAGAATCACATCAAAATCGACAATATCTAACGGGATAAGATCAGCAGACAAAACCACACCCTCAACTATCACTGGACATCTTGGGTACACACAATCTACAACACATCTCTCTCCTCTAGGCATAGCGAACTCTAAATTGTACCCTAGAGGTGTGGGGCGAGGTTGCGTCACTTGAGCAAATATATGAGAAATCACGGAATGCGTAGCTCCACAATCAATTAAGACTCTAGCAAAATAACCAAGAATGTTTAACGTACCCATAATCAGATCCGGGTTGTTCTGAGCATCCTGCAGGGAAATATTATGAAGACACCCCTGGCCCTGCTGCCGTCCGCCGCGACCTCTGCTCGCCTGAACACCGCGACCCTGATTACCACGCCCCTGACTGGGCTGACCCGACTGTCTCGAAGACCCTGCACTGCTGGTAGCAATCTCACCATGCTGATACTGTCCACCCTGATACCACTGAGAGCCACCCGCTGAAGCTGGAGGATAAGGCACAAAGCTGCCAGGATACGGAGGATAACCTCCCTGGGAGTACAGGTCCTGGGGATACTGATACTGTCCCGGGGCATAGGGAACAGCATCACCCTGGTAGTGGTAGGCACCACCTCTACCTGCCTGGCCATAACTACTCGGACCCTGAATCTGCTGAATCGGTGCAGGTGGTGGCATAAAGGTCTGCTGCGGCTTCTGCTGCTGACCCTGGGGACAATTCGCAGCTCTATGTCCCATCTGCCCACACGTGAAACAACCACTGCTGCCACGCCTGCACTCACCAAAATGCCGGTTGTTACACCTACGGCAAATCGGAGCTCTGCCTCGACCACCATCACCCTGTCTCTGGCCTCGAGCACCACCAGAAAATCTTCCTCCTCGTCCCTGACCAGTGGCACTGAAACCACCACTAGAAGAACTCGAGCTAACACCACCCCTCTTGAAGTTCTGAGTCTGACGGGGCCCAAGCGACGTTTGACCTTTTCCCTTGTCATCTTTCTTCTGCTTGCCGTCCTTATCTTCCTCATCACTGTCGCTCAACATATTCTCTGAGTCCTCAATCCTCAACAATATCTCGTAGAAATCCTGGTAGGACTCACAGTGTGTAGTAGTCGTCATCGAACGCCACCTCTTCCTGGTGCCCAAACGAAAACGACGGAGCATCTCTACTAGATTACTAGCAACAGCAGGATGGTAACGGGACAGATCAGTAAACTTGCGATAGTACTCATTAGCCGTCATCTTCCGCTGTCTCAGCTCGGTGAACTCCTGTTTCTTACGGTCAATGTACTCAGGAGGCACAAATCTCCTCTTGAACAAATCCTTGAAAACGTCCCAATCAGTCTTCTCGGCTGGAGTCAAACGACGAAGCTCCTGTTCCCACCAGGCTGTAGACTCCGTACCTAGGAACTATGAGGTCGTCTCGACCCACCTCTCAACAGGAAGGTTCCCCTGATTGTGCAACACACGAAAAGTCTTCTCAATGTGCTCTAACCATCGCTCTGCCCACTCGTGACCCTCATTACCCTCAAACTTATCCAATTTCAGATTATACATAGTCTCCAGAGGAGTCCTCTGGGGAGGGCGCAATACTGACTGAATGGCTGTAGCAAAAACTTCCCCCAACTGAGCAACATCGAGGAAGCTAGACTCAGAAGAGCGACGTGGTTCCCGACGAGGCGGCATAATTCTGACAGAAGACACCAAAACCATTAGAATACTCACAAGGACACAGGACTTCCAAACCTAAGCTCTGATACCAAACTGACACACCCCGACCGAGATCAGGGCCTGCTGGCCGTCACACGAAGGTGACGTAACCATGTGCACGTGCGGAAGCTAATAAGATAGTAATATAAAAAGTACGAATAATTAAAAACTCGCATACAAGTAGTAAAAACAAGTGCTAGCGTAAGTGAGACACAAAGTTCAGAGCAAGTCTACAACAGTCCAAAAGAAAGTTGCGACAAAAGTACATCTGAAGGTGACCCTACGATAAAGGGTGTCTGTCAGAAATGCCGGGACGCCCTCTGGGAAACCACCGAAACTGCTACTCAACTAGAACCTGGAGGGGCGCAAAACAAAAGCGTGAGTGGGCAAAAACAAAGCTTTCGAAAACTATTTATAAATACTTTCTAACCCCTCGCCGTAAAACCTGTATACTTCCCAGAAAATAGATATACGTATATATATATACGAAACATGCTCAAGAATATGCCAAACGTGCTCAATAATGTGCCATGCCAAAATCTCATAATGATATGCAAGTGCTCAGGTATAATCATATGAATATCAAGTAATCTGGCAGCCGGAGTCACCTAACGTGACCTGTACGGCGGCATCTAGAGCTCAAATCTCAAAATCAATAACTGAACCTGCCCACGAGTCGGAACCACCTAAAGTGGTCTGTACGACAGGCCTGGTTGTAACATATGTATACGCTCTAGTGCTACGATCACGTGAAGACTGTGCGAATAATCGCGGGTCACCTACGAGTCGGAACCACCTAAAGTGGTCTGTACGACAGGACTGTGCACCTAACTTGGATCCAAGCTGAGCGTGTGGTGCGGGAGGTGAACATCACGTGAAGGACTGTGCCCTACTCTGGGCGGGAGCACTAACACAACGGGTGCAGGTTATGAGCTCTCTAAGCATCTCAAACTGCTACTGAATATAAACATGAATACCACTTACCTGGAACTTACCTGTGCGTCCACAGCACCATGTATGCATATGTATATGTATATGCAACTACTAACATAACCAACGATGCATGAATGACGATAATGTAATGCATGGCATAAACTAATAAACATTTATTCAATTTCTGGGAAAATATAGTATATAGGTATATACTGAAAACCAAAAGCCCACTCACTGGTATGTGGAAGGGTCGTAGCCCCCCTGCCTCGAGTGCGCACGCTCGTCCTCGGGGTACGTATCACCTATATGCGAAACAACTACAGAAACGTAAATTTTAAAGCACATAACCAACTTCTCGTAATAACTTCTCATACATTGCTCAAATTGAACAAATGAATATACCAACGTGTTCTACACAACCTCAGGATCACAACCATATTTTTAGAAAAAAATTTCTCCGCCGCACGCGCCGGCCACGCGCAGGCACGTGCCTGGCACGCTGACGGCGTCAACTGACGCCGTTAGGAATATTCCGTCAGTTTTGACAAATTCCGTTAACGGCGTCAGGAATATTCTGTCAGACTTGACGGAATATTCCGTCACCTTCTCCGGCGACGTCGCCGGCGCCGAAAACTGGAAAACCTGCAATTCGTGTTTTCTCACTCGATTCTCAACCATTTTTCACGTTTCTTGAACCAAATTGAAGCCTAGAACTAGTAGACCAATGATAAACCACTTTTAAAGCCTAAAAATTACGAGATCATACCTGTCTCAAAACTAAAAAACCGGCCAACTTCGAATATCACGATTCCGACGTCCAATTTCGTCCAACGAGCTACTCCGATGCTCCTTGGGACCTCACTAAGACATCTATGAGCTTCAAAATCCCAAAAACGAGCTAGATTAATCTTGCATGAATAGTACTCAAATCGGAGCTTCTCGAATCGACGTGAAAACGTTAAGGTTCTCACCTGAAAATGGTATGGCTGCACTCGCACGAGCCTCACGAGTTCGAATGTGGTCCTGGTTCCTTCGATCTGTGACGATTTGAGCAAGTTGTCTTTGTGTCCGTACGTTTGTGTTTGGAAAGGGAAAGGAAAGAGAACACGGGAGAGACAGGGAGAAGACAGAGGGAGAGAGATAGGGACAGTGTGTGTGTGTGTGGCCCAACACATGCCAACACCACACAACCAACCAAACAACATAACAAAACGAACTAGGGGTAAAATGGTCATTTCGCACGTACATTTCGATATTGTCGGGACGGGATGTTACAAAACAATTATTTATTTAATTTTTAAAAACGTATTCTATTTAAATACATATTATTTATTTATTTATTGAACCAAACAATTATAATTTTTTTTTTTTAAATTATAACAAAATTTTGGGGGGGGGGGGGAGGAATTTAAAATTTTCAGAGGGAATTTTGGGGGGATTTTTACCGTCATTTTTTTTTTCCTGTCAGTTATAACCAACAGTAATGAAAATTTTCTGTCGGTTTTTAACCGACAGTAATGAAAATTTTCTAAAGTAAAACCCCTCTATATCTTCCTTGCGCCAGTGCTTCTCCCTTCCCCCTTTTCTCCTCTCCTCATTCCCTTCGCCTTCTCTTCTCCCCTTCTCCTTCTCGCTTTAATCACCATGGACGAACAAGGCAGAAGCTATGCAAGCCTTTGAGCACGAAGACAAGCAAAGCGCTGTAAGTCCTTCCACATGCTTCCACCTATGATTTAATTTATGTTTTTGTTGGATATGAATAATTCATATTTTGGAAGATATCAATAAAGGCTCCATCTTATTAGGGCTTCATAGATATTTAGGGATTTATTTGTTCATTATATATTTATAATCAAAAAAAAAATTGCATATGAATGCTAAACCATGATTTATGCAACTTATTGTTTGTTTAGTAAATTGTTACCACGTCTAGCTAAGCGTAAACATACAACTGAAATTCTTCTTGCTGACAGGTTGTAAAAGGGCAGGCAGCCGTCCACCGGTGCTCCGATGAGGTCGAATTCTTTGGGAAGGAACATCATACCTTCATGGGGAGTGAGGATTTTGCTTTTTACTTAGACAAGTTGCCTGGATTCATGTTGTTTTTAGGCGCAAGAAATGAGAAGATAGGAGTCATACATGCACCGCATAGTCCTCACTACATCCTCGATGAGGATGTGCTTCCCATTGGGGCTGCCATACATGCAGCTTTTGCCCATTCTTTTCTATCAGATTCAATTGGGAAGTTGCACCTTCATAATTTATGAAAGTCCATCTTCTTATTATATGTTCATTTGGTGTGATCCTTAAAAGTTATCAAAAGATCGATTCATCCAGAGTATCTTCTGTCTTGAAGAATTGAAGAATATGGTGTACCTTATTAGCTCAATCTGGTTTGCTCATTAGCTGGAGAATCTGATTCAAGTATGTTGGGTCATTTCGAGCAGAAGGGAAGAAGAATGCTCAACGAGAACAAGAAGGAGAAGGGAGAATGCTCTCATGTCATTTTTTATTTTATTTTTATTATTAATATATTTGTTGTCGGTTTTATCCGACAGAGAATGCTCTTGCTTATTATTAATATATTCCCTGTCGGTTATAGTCGACACAAGTTCTGTCGGTTTTATATATTTTATGTCGGTTTTATCCGACAGAGAATGCTCTTATTTATTCATTATTAATTTATTCTCTATCGGTTATATCCAACACAATTTTTGTCGGTTTTAGAGTATTTTCTGTTGGAAAATTCATTTCCTGACGGTGGCAATTCTGTCGCTTATTATATCCGTCACTGCATCCATTTTTTGTCGGATTTTGCTTAATATCCAACAATAATACACGTTTCTTGTCCGTTATCATAGCGACACTAATAAATGGTTTCGTAGTAGGGTATTCTTAGTCAAAATTTCCAACAAATTTTGGCTTTAGGGAAAATGATACTCTTAGTCAAAATTTCTAACAAAGTTTGCCTTTGGTCAGCACAGATATTCCTGAGTACAAAAAGAAAAATACCAAAGTCGTCTTCCTCAGCACAGAAGGGAAAGTACGAAACAAACAGATACAAAGACAGATTAATAATCTTCAAAAATTCGAAATTGCATGAAGAATTTCAGAAAACGGAGATCATATCCAGATCTCGATGAGATTTGATAAGGTTACATTGGGTTGTGGAAGGGGCTGACTTTATTGACGTAGAAGGGGACGAACTGCTGCATAAGAACTTAAGACGCCCGGCGCCAACGAACTTGTCATTGGCTATGGGAGTCTAGTCCTGGATCGTGGAGATGACTGATAAGATTGTCGATTAAGTTAATAGCGTCGTGGAATCAACCGAGTAAGACCATATTAGGTGGTCAACAGCTGAGTCGGACCAGATTTAGCCTACTATCTTCTCAGATCTGGAGCCTCAAAATCTTCGTCTTCTTGGATGGTGAGGTGATGTTGTGCTTCATGTGGTGGCTCTGTGATGTCGACGCAATTGATTCGAGAGGTGGGAAGGAGAAAAGAATGAGAAAGTTGAGAAACGAAGAAAGAAAATGGGGGATGTCTGGAAGTGGGGAAGGTAACTGAATTCACTGAACGAGTAAATACGTTGTAATTGTATGGTAGAAACGGATAAGTCTGGGGCCCCATAATTGTAAAATTATGGACCACCTCACCCCCGTAAATACCCTATCCGTGCCCCACCCCGCAGGTCTTTACGAAGAAAGTTGATGGTCCATTATAAAATCAATTGATAATATGGGAGTAACTCAACTATATACTTATAAGCACATGCAATGTCTTTCTTCTCATTAGTGTGGGATTCATTCTCAACACGTCTGCTCACGTGTGGCAAATTTTCAAGCCTAACATGTGGACAACACAACTTGGATGACATGGAACAAATGTGGCCATTGGGCTTCACACGTAGGACAACCTATTCTGATACCATAAACAAAGTTTAGGTTTCACCGTAAAATCAATTGGCAATATAAGGAATAACTCAATTACTTACAAGCGCATAAAAAGACTTTTCTCTCATTAATGTGGAATTTATTCTCAACACTTTCATCTCTTGAGTCTACTTGGGTTAAAACAACGCTTCTTGTAATTTACTACCGCTGGCAATTGGTGCACAATGCCTTGTGAGACTCAAACAGTCTCCGGGATGATACATGCCTGGTTGGCAATCAATACATCAACTTCATGCTATCATATGGAGAGTATCAATTGACAGCTTCCCACGGTTATGCGTTAAGGTAATTGTTGTCCATATCTATCTCTTTTCTAGACCTAGAAGCTTAAGGTTTTTCATTAAGAACATATCTTATACGTTGATCCCATTGTAAGAACAACCATATAAGCTCTATAATAAACTAGCCAAGAACATAAGATTTAACTAACTAAATCACAATCATCACTCCAAATATTCTGTATATGCAAATACTGAAGTAATATCTGCAATACATACCAGCAAAACTGTTTGCCGAAGTCTTTCCCATGTGTGCTGTTAGAAGACAGCAGATGGTGCTATTCCATTAAGCCAAAGGACGAGGGGTTTCCGAGATGACTGTCATCGTTGAAAAGCAAATGACCAATGTTGTGATGATTGGTGACGGTCCAACCATGACCAAGATCAGCGGAAGCAAGAGCCACGCGGATGGTGTCGCAACCATGAACACCGCAACCTTTGCTGCACTAGAAAACTATTTTGTTGCCAAAAGGAATTGGGTTCAAGAATACAGCAGGACACGTAAAGCACCAAGCCGTGGCACTGCGTGTGCAATCCGACTTCTCCATCTTCTTCAACTGTCACATGGACGCATACCAAGACACCCTCTACACACAACCTTCTCCTCTCTGCAAAACTCAATGCTCTCCAAGTTATAGGTAATTGGAACAATAAGAGCGTATTTTTGTGAGAGCAGGGGCTTGTGGTTTTTATACTACAAAATCTGGATTACCCTATAATAATCCTACAAGGAATACAAGACCAAATCCTTGTACAAGTATGAGTTCTATTCTCAAGCTAACAGTAGAGTTTCAATCCAAACCAAAGTTGAATTAACTCTTATAAACACATTAAGACCTCTTTATACCAATATGAAATAACAATGATTATTACTAAATTGTGAGAATCACACTCATACTCTAACATTCTCCCACTTGAGTATGATTCACAACAGTAAATAATCATCTCAAATTCAATATAAAGGTGATCACATAAGTCATTCATCAACACACTAGTATATAGACACAACCAGCTTACATAAACCAAAACAATGAATTTATAATTGCCTCTGCAACACAAAATACAGATTTAACTTACAAATCACAATGTTCGGTTCATGTTCATAGCAATGTATCTAAGCTCAAGAGTAAACCAAGATGTCTACTCCCACTCATATAGCCCAAAATAAAAAATACCAACATTCTTGACAGTAGGCTCTTAAAATTATTCATAATTGTATGAATAGCACAGTTATATCAATCAACAGTTTTATCATATCACCAAATCTTTTGGATAACAAAAGCTTAACCTCACATACAACTTACCTATGCATTTTAAAGTATTGAACTTAAGAATCTTTTCTGTTACATCACAGAATTAACTCAAAAGTCACAACATACTTAATTTGCACTTTGTAATTATGTGAACCAATATAGCAAAACCAAACCAATTTGCTCCCACTTATCTAATATAGCAAAACCAAACCAATTTTGCTCCCACTTAAGCATAAGCAGAATATACTGCATAGCCGATAAAGAAACCAGAGATATGAACCAATTGGTTCCCGATTCCTTACCTATTGCATAATCTCAGTTTAGTCATATACACCTAAACCATTATGCAAAACAGTCTATGTATCAAAAGATAGTCACAATCCATTCGGAATAACTTATCTCACATAAACCCAAAATCACCAGTTTCAACAATGATCAAAATCAGAATAGCAAGCACAATATTTTTGCATTCAATTTGATCTTAACTAGTTCAATATCCATCGAGCAAGATCAACCAAAATTTGATAATGTCTGGATATATATCACAACAATATGTCTTGATTAAAACGAGATAATCAAGACCACTTATTTCTTCTGGAGAACTCGAAGTTCATCTTCCTCCCTATTTGTGATTTCAACCAAAGCATAATAGCGGAAGCATGCATCATATATGAAATCACAAATATATATATATATATATATATATATATATATATATAATAAGCATGCATCTTAAACTCGATGATTTTCACAATACAATAAGCACATGCTCTCTTATGAATTCATAAATTAAATCAATATGCATTCGGCAATGTCAATTTGTGTTGTATAAAAATATAGACAATAGCTCACATTCGCAATTTGTTTATCATCCCTGTATATGGATGAGACAAGCTAATTCTCAAAATTTATAGCTTGACCTATATAATCATACCAGTAAATTTTTTAAGGTTAAGGTCAATGCCAAAACAACTAATTAAATTTTCAATGCCATGCATTTAAGTTCAAATGATGCCATTCATCTCCCGATCAGTTTTTAGGTCTTAAAACTATATATACAAAATACCTAATAAGAGTTGGCAACAGAACATTTCGCATTGAAGTCTCACGCAATGCCATTGCATCTCAAAGATCGGTTTCAAGTCTTCAAGCCACAAAATCTAATTTGGGTCAACTAATGAAAATAAGATCATTACAAAATAAAACCCAAATTACACTGTATACAGATCCGTCATATATGCACAATAACGATTCTACCCAAAACATATCTCACATATATATGTTCATTCATCTGTTCATATATTTTCTTGTATGCATGCATCAATATGCAGAGAAACTTATGCAAGTTCTATTTGATATAGATAAAACTGTACGCCCATAATTACAACGTCTGTGCACGAATGCTATCTCCATATGGGTACAGATTTCATTCATATATGCTATTATATATAAATCACAAAACAATTGGCATCCACTTCGTATATGCATTTGTATTTATTGCTTTATAATACCTGCCGACTTGCATATTATATACAATCAAATCCATTCCAACCCAAACTTGATCTAAATCAAACTAATTGAAAATCAAGAATTGACACTAAGATGTGCATGTGTAGCTCCCCGCAATTTAAATGTATCGAGATTCATACATGAAACAATGCATACGCATGGACTCTTTAATGAAAAATAGAAGAGTATATCTAGACATACACTAATTTATTTATACAGCAAAGGATGATTCCAGACATCTCACATAAATCACAAGTTGGCATCTATAGGG